AAGAAAGGCAGCTATACAGGTAGCCCTTGACACATATACCCATTTATTTAGTCACCGTTCAAAGTTTATGGCATTGAAAAAAAGTGACTTATATCCTGGTCCTCACACTTACAACCGTTGCAGCATTCCTCACAGTCATGTGATCAAAACTCAGTATGTATTTACCACGGTTGCAATGTCCCAGGTTCATTATCATTGCCGTTTGCACCCTTCCCAGCTGGCTTCTGACAAAAGAGGAAAGCCAGATTCATTTAAAGAATGTGTGATTCACTTAACAACTAGAGTTATAGAGCTTAATGACTATGGCCAAAAGGTGGTAAAATTGGGTGCAACTCACTTAACCACCACTTTGCTTAAGCAATGGAAATGTCAAACGCTTGGGAAATCAGGAGATTAAGGCAGTTCAAATGAATATATAAAGATTTATTGCAAGCTTAAGCTCTCTATAAGAATCTGGCCAACCAACCGCAGCAAGATTGGCCTTTGCGCAATGTTGGAAGAATGCAAAGACGCCCTCCGATGACCTAATAATTAAAAAAAATCTTTGATTGCGCTGAAATGGACAAACTAACATTGGAATTGAAAGGAATGACAGACTTGGGAGTATTATATTTCATGGGAGAAATGGTACAAATGGATTGAAAACAGAAAAATAAAATAGATTCAGATATAATAGAATTTGATGAAATGAAGTGCACAGAGTATAAGACCTTAGTAGCGATATGTCGTGTAAAAGGTCACAGTTCTGCACAAAAATTTTCATTTTTGTATTTGTGTTTTTGTTTTTTGTTGGTTTAAAAATTAATAAAATATGATTTTTTTAAAAGAGAGAGAATCTGGCCAACTGACCGTTAAGAGAAATGGGGGAAAGATAAGACAAGTCATTCAAGGTGGGCTGGACTTAGATCTGTTGCGGGTGCAAAGGGACTCCGTGACTTATGACGCCTTTGGCCCTTCCCTTGGACTTAGTCTGGTCATTTCCCACAGGAAATTATGAACCCAACTGTGGTCATAAATCGAGGATTATCTATATCCTTGATCATTATTTTATAATTGGGCAATATGGCCCCTGAAAAGTTCCCACTCTTTGGGCAACATTACATGTGAATAGATTACTTGGCAGAGGCCTACAGGCCTCAGCACTGCTCAAGGGAATGCACCTTTTGTGTCTCGGAAATTTCCAACCGAATCCCCAGCATCGCCTTCCCCACTTTAAATGTGCTGGGACTGCAGTTCGTTCAGTTCCCAGCCAGAATGGCTCCTTGCTCATTAGATTGCCGCGAAACACAGCCACAAGGGAAGTCCATCAAAAGTGTTATAGAAAGGTTGGTGGTTGCAACATGCAACACCCCTGCTAGAAACTGAAGTGTCAGCAGGTGCTGGCATGAAGGGGGAGGGGACAGGTAAAATTTAAGGCCCAGTGGGCACACTATCAAATGCCTTACCATATGGGGGCCACCGTGGGCCTTTGTGATATGGTAAAGCCTAACAGAAACCATAGAGCCATGATGATGAATTTATGGCTTGCATGCCACAGGTGGCACCTCTGTGGGCACGCAAGCCGTCACCCCAGTTCAGCTCTGCTGCGCATGTGCATCCCGCCAGCCAGTGGTTCGTTGGGTCTCTGCTGCACATGTTTGGGGCACACGCAGGGGGACACATGTGTGCATGCGTGGGTGCGGGGAGTTGCATGCGCATGGAGCACATGAGCATTGCATTTGGGGGGGTTGGGGGGGCACATTCGGGCATGCACGCTTTGGGCACTCGGTCCGGAAAAGGTTAGCCATCACTGCCATAGAGGACAGTGGCCTACCTCAAGTTATTAACACTCTTTGCAGACTTTCAGAGTTAGCATGAATTGCTATTTTTTTTACCCCTAGCCAAATAAAAAATATCTTTGGCATTCCTTTACTTTGCCTGATGAAAAATCGCTCACCAACAACTGTCCAAACAATACAGGCATCTCCCAATACTCACTTTAGAAATAGATGTTTTTGTTTCTGAATGGCCAAAAGTGCTCACTCTCTATGTATCACACACGTCCAATTGAAACTCTCTCACCCCTCCTCAAAATACTGTGTTTCCCCCAAAATAAAACCCTGTCTTATATTTTTTTGAACCTTGAAATAAGCCCTTGGCCTTATTGCCATGCACTCAAAAGCCCAATTGGGCTTATTATCAGGGGATGTCTTATTTTGGGGGGTACAGGTAGTCCTCAACTTACAACAGTTCATTTAATGACTGTTCAAAATTACAACGGCATTGAAAAGAGTGACTTATGACCGTTTTTCATACTTATGACCATTGCAACATCCCCTCGGTCACATGATCAAAATTCATATGCTTGGCAACTGACTCATATTTATGACGGTTGCAATGTCCCGGGGTCATGTGGTTTACCATTTGCAACTTTTAAACAAGCAAATTCAACCCAGTTTCACTCAACAACCGTGTTAATAATGTAACAACTGCAGTAATTCACTTAACAACTGTGGCAAGAAAGGTCGTAAAGTGAGGCAAAACTCACTTTACCAAATGTCTCATTTAGTCACAGAAATTTTGGGTTCAATTGTGGTCATAAATCGAGGACTACCTGTATTGTTTTATTTTCTGCTCAGTGCATTGAGTGGAATTTCTCACTGAGTATGTCAGTGTCTATTAATTCATTCATTCATTAATCTTCATTTAAATTCCATTGTTTTGCCAAGGAGTTCAAGACACCATTCCCTTCTAAACAGTCATAGTCAGTTTGTCTTCAAAATTTCTGCCAGAGAGTTTAGGGTCCAAATCACTCATGTGAGTTGGAATCAAGTGTTACTTGGCTCTCCAGGTAACTCCATCTTATAAAACTTTTTGTTATTTTACACCAAATTGTAAATTTCCAATCCACAGAGATGCTATATAGAGAACCACTTTGGCCTAGTGGTTAAAGCAACAGTCTGGAAAGTAGGAAACTGTGAATTCTAGTCCGGCTTAGGCATGAAGGCTGTGACTCTCTCTCAGCCTAATTCACCTCACAGGATTGTTGTTGTGGGGAAAACATGAGGAAGAGAGATTAGCTGCCACCTTGAGGTAACGATAAAAATAATAAAGACAGGATTAATTGATTGATTGATTAAATAACTAAACGGTATTATGTATCTCTCTCAGCTCTGAGCAATATACAAGTAGTCCTTGACGTATGACCACAATTGAGCTCAAAATTTCTGCTAAGCTAGTCAGTTGTTAAGTGAGCTTTGCCCCATTTTACGACTTTTCTTGCCACAATTAAGTGAATCACTGCAGTTCTGAAATTAGTAACATGGTTGTTAAGTGAATCTGGCTTCCCCATTGACTTTGCTTGTCAGAAGGTGGCAAAAGGTGATTCCAGGACACTGCAACCGTCATAACTATGAACCAGTAGCCAAGCGTCTGAATTTGTGAAAAAACACTGAAAAAAGTTATTTATGTCTGGTCCTCGCACTTATGACTGTAGCAGCAACCCCACGGTTTTGTGGTCAAAGTTTGGGCCCTTGGTAACTGGTATATATTTATGACGGTTGCAGTGAGCTGAGGTAACATGATTGCAATTTGAGCTCTTTCCCAGCTGACCTCTGACAAGTCAATGGAGGGGAAGCCAGATTTGCTTAATAACCATTGATTCACTTAACGGCAGTGTTTTCGCTTAAAAACCATGGCAAATAAGATTTTTAAATTGGGTGCGATTTGATTAACAACCCTCTTGCTTAGTAACAGAATGCTGGTCCAAGCTGTGATAGTAAGCTGAGGACTACCTGTGAGTCCTAAAATGAGCAGGCTTACCATGCAATGGAATCCAGTTAATGCACAAATTAATTTTGGGGGATGGGGGAGAGGCAAGGAAAAGATTTGCAACGGCAACTATTCAGGGTAATTAATACAAATAATATTTCCTCATTGCTTGAATTGTTTACTATTTACTACTTGAATTTGAATAATTTACTAATGCTATTAGTATTTTTTTTTCTATTTTATCAGAGAATCTTAGGTTGAAACAATCTCATTGGCTATTGGCCTTGCAGACCAATTTTTAATTAGATATTTGGGAGACCAAGGCCAGCACTTTGGTCAGAACAACCAGTCAGAAACTCCTAGGAAACTTTCCAGGTACAACAGAGATGGGGAACTATGGGCCCTTTATGACTTGTGGACTTCAACGAATTCTGGGAACTGTAGTCCACAAGTCATAAAGGGCCCATAGTATCCCACCCCTTGAGTACAAGAACAATATCCAATCCTGTTTGCCCCTCAGCTTCTGAAATGCCAAAGCAAACCGGGCCCGAAGTTCCACTGTGCGGCAATTGGGATCAGCAAATAGCCATCAGAAGCCCTCCTGTCCAGTGGTGAAATTCAGCCGGTTCTATCTGGATCGCGCGATCCGGTAGCACCGGTGGCGGGAGGCTCCGCCCACTATCACGTCCTGTTTTTTATCCTCTATGCATGCGCGCGCTCACATTTGTGAACCAGTAAGCAAATACCTCCCCTACTCCTGTCCTCTGTTTCAACCAATCCTCCCCTCCTCCAGAACGCTCCTTCGGTTCCCCTTCCAACTCGGCCTGGCATGCCACTTCAGTCTTTTGTTGCTTCAGATACACCTCAGTCCTCATTCATTTCTCCCCAATGCTTCCCAATATATGCCTGTGAGACAGGATTCTATGTGCTTGGTTAACTGCATAAGCAAAAGCATTTGAATCAACAGCAGTTATAGAAGAAATGCTGTTGGGAAAAACAACCCTAAAGAACCGGGATTATTAAAACCCAATAGCGGAGCAAATATTAAACCAATCTAGTTTAAAAAATGATGTGGCAGGGAGTTCCACCGATACCATGATGAACCATATGCTTCCTTCAGTTTCCTGTCTTTTGGTTTCTATTATATGCCGTCACATTTTCTGTCCCCCACCCTCATCTCCCCAAATGCCTGGACAAGTGAATGAGAGGCACGGCTGCTCGCTTCCTAAAACTCATTTACGATTGCTTACCTTTTTGAGGTGCTCATATCCACCGGCTCATCTCCCGTCTGAACTTCCACTCTGATGGTTGCTTTCATCTCCCCTCCTTTTAATAATCCTTGGACTTTACTAGATCCAGAATCAGTCTTTAGCTTAAGGTCCCCCCCTTCGGAGTTGGCCTCGGGCCCCCCCAAAAGCCCTTTGTCCATTTTCATTTTTTTACAGTCCACGTCGTTTTGGGTGATTTCCCGTTCAAGTGCTCGCTTCTGACTTCGTGTCCTGCAAGCTTCCTCCGTCATTATGGTGCTCTGGAAAAGTAGCACAAAGAGGTGGGGGGGGGGGGAAGTGGGGGGAGGGAGAGAGAGAAAGAGAAAGAGAGAGAAGGAGAGAGATAGATCAGAATGAGAATGTGTTAATAGTACTCCAACCAGGTGCCATATATTACCACATATATGGCAAATCAAGTTGTTCGGCTCCGATCCTATACTCACGCTCCCTTTCCCCCATCACATCCTTGAGTGGAAATCAAATAAATCAAAAGCCAAGACTGTTTTGGGGAGGAGGGGGGAAACAGGTGCAAGTATGCCTAACTTCCCATAGGAAATCCGGAGCATTTCCTTCCGACCACGCAGCTTCTTTTTCTTATCATTCTAGATACCCCATTTTCTTTAAAGTTTTATTTCTTGTGAAGTGCTCCAGAGTTCTGTGAAAAAATCCCTCCTATTTAAGAGGATCGGAGGGAGGTGGGGGGTGGGATGCTCCTTTTCCCACTGCTGCCCCAGCAACTCTTCCTGGCTAGAAAGGAGAAACTTTAAGCTGATGCTGAAAATAAGGCACCTGATTCGGCGACGTCCTTTAAAAAAACCAGGACCTGGGTAACTCTTCCCATCCCAACAATTTTAAGTCTGTTCTGAAAGTGCTCCGGATCCTAAGGAATCAGGTGGGAATCGGGGAGGTTTTGAAGGGAAAGGGCTTTAAAAAAGTTTTGTTTGGAAGAGGGAACATGCACTGGAGAGAGGCCTGCTTCTGACCAAGCCTCTCCAACCCTACCTGCAAGAAACACACATATCTGATGGGGGTGGGGGGAGGAGAGCTGAGTCAGTTTGTGATCCCATGACATCACTGGATCTACACATGACCCTTTCCCAGGATTCAGTCGGAGACACAAAGCACTTTCCAGAAAACCGGTCTGAACTGGTTCCAGACAACAAGCTAAGTGTCGTTAACCCTAGCGGAGACACCATCTTGCAGTGCTGGCGTGCGGCTGCGGCATCTGCTGCAGCTGGCATTCCACAACAGAAGTCCCGGGGACCATCCCCTCTGCTCCTCTTAAAGGGGCAGCGCGCTTGACACCAGCGCAGCAGCAATGGCTGCCCGGACACCATCACTTCGCCAGGGAAAGCCACTTTGGGGGGTGGGGGTGGGGAATAATCTTTTTTTTTTAAAAAAAAAAAAATTTTTTTTTAAAAAGTAAGTCAAAAAGAAGATCCAATTCAGAATTAGAAGGAGAGAAGGGGGCAGAGGAAAGAGGAAGGGGGGAATAGTTGGCAAAGGCAGTGCAACTTTCTCAATGCAACTACAGAAAAACTAGAGACAGGCATAAGAGAGGGAGAAGAGGGGAGAAAAAGCCTTGGAAAGTAAAAGAGGACGTATTTCAGGAGAAAACATTCCAAAGCGAAGAAGGTCAATGGCTTTTACTTTCAAGACATTTGAGTTTTGACTCCACGATAGTCCTTGTTCTCTTCAAATTCTCCATATCTCCCCCTCCCCCCAAAAAACCTCAGCATAAGATCCCAACAACCTGCCGAAACAAAATCATGATTTCTTTTCTGATCTGTAACAATTCAGCAAAAGCATCCTGAGGGAAATCTCGGTTTGGAGTGAACGTATTTTGAGGGCTTTTGAAGGTTTCAGACCGTGACACCCTGGAAATACAGAAAGTCTCTGCCCGTTGATGATTGGACTTTCTGAGGAAAAATATGTGAGGAAAACCAACATTTCTTTAATTTAATTCTCCAATTACGGCATATGCTATTTCACAGGGCACAAGGCACATAAACCATCATACGGCCACAAGAGTCTTGGGTTAGCGTCGACCTGCTTCACCCGAAGAAATATTGTACTGCTTTTTTAGTTTGCAACTGCTACACAGGTCCCATAGCCTCTCAGATCATGTGTGACACGTGTGGCAGCAGTTCAGATAAATAAGTCTATTAGGAATTGGTCCCAGTTGCTTCCCACCTGCCCTCCTCTCTGGCCATTTGTCTGCAGAACCCAATCTAGTCAAAACTGACTGGCATCTGGTTTCAGACAGGAGGGGTTCTTTCCCAAATGTTTCCAGAAACGGTAAAAGACTAAAGCAAGATTGTGGGAAGCCAAAACCCAAATAATACTACTAATAATTTGTGTATTGACAAAATTTCCATCTGTCAATTACAAAAGGCTACACTGCTTGGATCTATACTGGCTGATATATTTTGATATTCCAGGTTCTTAGAAAGAATTTTAGGCGAATGAAGGTCAACACCAGCTTAAATAACTGGCAGCTGCTATTTTATGTTGTTATAATGACCTCTTCATTTTGAAGAACAAATGTACTGGGGATCAATGGAAGCTGCCTCCTTGGTCCACTGCTTTCGATATTATATTATTATACTGGTTGGGTTCATACACTACAACAGGGGTGTCCAACCTTGGCAACTTTAAGACCTGTGGGCTTCAATTGCCAGAGCTGGCTGGGGAATTCTGGAAGTTTAAAGTCGCCAAGGTTGGACACACCTGCACTACAATATTCTTGAGTCCCCAATGGGAAATGAAGATACAACAGAGACAAGTTTTAAGGCCTTTCGGGAAGGCCAAAAGGGTAATGGCTGATCTCACAGTGGCAAGATGTCCCAGAGCGCAGGTACTATGGCAGAAAAGTCTTTCCCTTAGACCAGCGGTCACCAACTGGTGGTCCGCAGAAAAATTATTTGCATTTTTTATATTGCACAAAATCAGGGGTCCTCAAACTACGGCCCCTGGGCTGGATACGTGCAATGAACGTTTGTGTTGCTGCAGAGAATCTCCCCCTTTGGGTTTTTTTTGTGTAGGTCGGGGGGGGGGCGGTGTAATTCTGAATTGGGGTTTTCTTTAGCCTCCTGGTGCAGGGCTTTGGGCGAAGGCTGGAGGGAAGTGCCTCTGGTGGCAAGGAGTCGGAGGGCCTTGCAGCTTGCGCAACAGCATTGTTGATGTGCCACTCTAGGGGTCTGCGTGCGTCGCTATATTCTGTACCAATTGTAGCTTCCAAATACTTTTCAAGGGTAGAGGGCACTGCAGTAATCCAAACAAGAGATGACCGGAGCACGAGTGCCTGAGCACAGGGTCTATTTCTTCATACTCCCCCAACGCTCTGCCTCGATTGTATTTCTAAGATTATCTTGATTTTTTTTTAAAAAATACTATAAAGCAGCAAACTTTCTGGCTGTTGTGGACTAACGGCGGGAGGGGGAGCGGGATGGTTTAGTATGCGGAACCTAAGCCCGCACATGTTCCCCTGCCGCTTGCGCAACCCAATTCCCAACGGACCACGGACCGGTACTAGTCTGCGGACCGGAAGTTGGGGGATCCCTGATATAAGGCACATCAACAGCTTCAAGCATAGTTGATTATTTCCAGTAATGTTTCTGGACCCATGTGGACTCTGGTGGTATTTATTAAAAAATATCCTGGTGGGCAGACATAACCAAATGTTTTATTTACTTTTGGGTAATTTAGGTTCTCTGATTGTCGCTACCTAATGATTTTGCGAGATTGCCCACAATGTTCACCTCCAGATGTGCCCATTACCGCAAAAGAGCAGAGGGGCCCTTATGCTAACCAACAACTTGTTTCAACCATGATTTATTAAATAAGCCACAGTGGCTGAGATCGCAGACACGGAACAAAAGGCAAAACAAACTCCATAGGGTAATTAAGCATAATTGAACCACCCAGTCATTATCTGACTGCCCTGTCCAGAATCTCTCCCAGTCCTACTTAAGAGACAGCCAAAACTGAGTGTCAGACCTTTACCTCCCATGTTATGGTGCCTCGTTCTCATTTTGCATGAATACATTTGCTGTTTAAGGATGACTGGGAAATGCTTGGATGTAATGAGAGAACGATAGAAAAAACTCAAGACCCCAATGGAAGTTAGAGGCATGCAAGTTGAAGATAAGAGAGGGCGTGGGACCAACAAATTAAATTCAGAACAAAGATAAACATGGTTCAACAAGGATCCAATTCTTCCTGAACTCCTAGCTAGCAAATCAATTTGTTTTTAATTGGGGCATATTTTGCCCAGAGTATCAAATAAACAGCTTTTTACCAATAACAAGCAAGAGACTGCTACAAAGAGCTCCTAACCACTGTCTACCCTAGTAAAGAATCCTTTTAAATCAGGGGTCTCCAACTTTGGCAGCTTTAAGACTTGTAGACTTCAACTCCCAGAGTTCAGAGTTGAAGAGTTCTGGGAGTTGAAGTCCACAAGTCTTAAAGTTGCCAAAAGTTGGAGACCCATGTTGGTAAGTGTGAGGACCAATCATAAGCTTTGCTGGCTGAGGAATTCTGGGAGTTGAAGTCCAAAAGTCTTAGGGTTGCCAAGGTTGGAGATCTCCCTGTCTTAAACCTCTAGGTAGCAATGATGCCCTATCTAAGTTTTCACCTTGTACATCTCAGCTCCCATTACACTAGAGTCAAAAACAAAGCTTCATCCTAATATAATGCTGTGTAGCCAGTCTTAGTCCACATCCATCTTGGGGCAAAGAGAGTTTTCATATAGGAATAATACCCTTGAGACACAATGAAACCAGCAGGCTATAACCCTCATCTTAGATACCTGCTGCTTAGCAGAGTTCTTTATTTCCTTATTACAGTAATTTGTATACCACCTGCAAATGCTTCACCTTTCCCTGGGGGCCATAAGCCAGTGGACACCTCCTTTATATGCTAGCAACCCACAACTTGATGCTTTCAATATGGTCTACTCCAACTCCCTGAATCCTTAGGCATAGCTGGCTATCGATTACAGATAGTCCTTCACTTCTGACCACAATTCAGCCCAAAATTTCTGCTGCTAAGCAAGACAATGGTCAAGTGAGCCTCGCTGAATTTTACAGTCTTCTTTGACACAGTTGTTAAGTGAATTACTGCAGTTGTTAAGTTAGTTAACACGATGGTTAAGTGAGTCTGGCTTTCCCATTGACTTTGCTTGCCATAAGGTTGCAAGAGGTGATCACATGATCCCAGGACACTGCAACCATCATAAATATCACAGGACTATTGGGATGCTGCAGCAGTCATACGTATGAAAAATGGTCGTAAATCACTTTTTTTCAGTTCCATTGTAAGTTCAAACCGTCACTAAACATATGTTTGTAAGTCAAGGACTACCCGTACTGAAGCCCAGCTTGGGGAAGACTGCTCTACGTGGGTCAGAATATATGTCAACAGAGCCAGAAAGCTTCCTGCTACAACTATTTTTTAACTCATTACCGTTTGTTGATATCATCCATTGCAAAAGACTGGACTGTGGTGAATGCACAGTTTGTGACTCATATTGTATATAACTTTACGGAAGTTAGTAGCCCACTTGCAACACAAACATATGCGCACGTTGCACACACCTTTGTGATACTGGGAAATTGTTCAGTTTTTGCTCGGATATCCTCAAGTAATTTCTAGTCAGCCTAGGAAATTCTGCTTGAGCAGGGGGTTGGACTAGATCAGGGGTGTCAAACCCTTGTTGTCATGGCATCGTCACGTGACATATCGGGACTTCCCCCCTCCCTTCGCCAAAGCAGGCAGGGGCGGGGCCAGCATGTGACACAACTGGCCCAGGGTTTGACACCCCTGGACTAGATGATCTCTTAGGTTGCTTCCAATTCTGTTATTCTGTCTCTCAGCCCAAATACAGAGGACATCAAATGTCTGTTTGACTTGACAAGATAGGTAGTACTCCAAGTCTTGGTGGCGCAGCAGACTAAAGTGCTATTAAGTAGCACCAGCTGCCTGCAATTACTGCAAGTTCAAATCTCACCAGGCTCAAGGTTGACTCAGCCTTCCATCCTTTCGAGGGAGGTAAAATGAGGACCCGGTTTGTGGGAGCAATAAGCTGACTTTGTATAAATATTTTTTTAAAAAAAAAACTGCTTGGGGTGGGGTGGGGCGAAAGCCCTACTAAGCAGGTATATACAAAAGTATGAAGGCTATTGCTTAACGCATTGTAAGCCGCCCTGAATCTCCGGAGAAGGGCGGCATATAAATCGAACCAATAAATAGACAAACAATAAATAAATAAATATCCATTTTTGTTTGATTTGTCCATCTTAAAATATCATTAGTTCAAAGTAGGCCACTTACATATTCTAGTTATTTTTGTATGGAGAAATCTACAGCTTTGATAATTATGTTAATAATAATACAGCTTATTTCACCAAGTTACTGGGAGAAAAATCTCAATTCACCAACAGGCAACCAGACTGAGATTTAGACATTTTTTTTTCAACACTATTTTTAACTAGTTTTACTATTTTCTTGCCTGATAAATTTATGCATAGAAACAACCTATCAAAGACCAGTTATTCTCTGTGCTCCAACACTGGAAAGCTGTATTTGCATTGGCAGCCCCCAAATGTGTTTAGGACCATCCCTCTCCCTTAAAGAAAAGAAGACCAACCTGGGATAATTCAGGCAGTGTCTTTTCCAACATGGGTGTCTGTGACAGAATTTTATCACATATTGACTGAACCACCTCCTGCTTGAAGACAGGCAGAGAAAAGGGACCTTGTTGGGCAATTACTGCTTTCTTTCGCCACTGTAGGGAAAGTTATAGGAAGAAAACATAAAAGTAGAAATGAGTTCCATTTTAAGATACAAGAAGAAGAATCAGGCATACCCCCCAAGTTTCCCAGAGTACATCACAGTGTTTCCCAGACTACATCACAGTGTCAAAAGAAAGGTTAGTTAAAGAAAACTTCATTTAAAGGAGAATATTTGTAGTTCAGGGTTGAAATGAGGAGTCCTTGGTGCTCTCTGCCTTGATGATGTTACCTAGTTGGGTATTGAAACTTCTGCAAGAAAACAACCAAGCTCAGAGAGCACCAAGGAACTCTCAAATCTTCATTTATCCCACAGATTTTCATCTATTGTCTGCATTCAAGAAACAAAGAAATTGCTTGAAATTGATATAGGAGAAGGTATCATTTGTTTTTATAAAATATTGTGCTATGTGCCATCTCACCATTCTTCATCCACGGGACTCAGAAATTTCATTTTTCTCCCAATAGGTACCCCTCCCCTCACAATCCCCTGCTATCCTGATATTTTTTTTTTTTCAGATGAAATTGCCAAGAAGTGAACTAGGCCATCTCTGGTACCACCCTGGGAACAAGTAAGCAACAGCTTTTACATCCAAACAATGTGAGCTTTCAACAATGACCATGTGCAAAGATATTCTTTTCAGTACTGTATTCGTTTTGCTCTTATGTTTTTAAATAATCAGTTTTATCCCCTTTTTGTACTTGTGGAAATGCATCTAGCTGGGCTTATTGGGAAGTACAGTCCCACATATCTGAAGGCTACACAGGTATGGAAAATACCCACCAAATGTTAAGACAAATGTTCTCCTCAGGATGTGGCCATACAGCATACTGTTTACTTATAGATTTATATTCCACTTTTTATGTAGCAGCTCAGTAATGTTTTCCCCTGTTTTTCCTAGCCCGTGCGATAGGATGGGCTGAAAGACAGACACTGGCCTAAATACCCTCAGAGGGCTTGCTTCTATCTGTCTGTCCGTCCATCTTTTGAAATACCCTAATCACTCACAGAGAGATGCCAGACCTCCATCTTTGATCTTGTATGAACCCAGCCTATTTGGTTATTGGACAACCATTTGTTTGAAATGGTATAGGGCCGTGATGGCGAACCTATGGCATGCGTGCGTTGCCCTAGTTCAGCTCTGGCGTGTGTTTCCGGCCTCCGGAGGGCCTCTGGAGGGGTGGGGAAGGCCTGTTTTTCGCTCTCCCCAGGCTCCAGAGTCTTTCTAGGAGCCTGGGGAGGGCGAAAATGGCCTTCCCCACCCTCTCGGAGGCCGGAAACGACCCATTTGCCGACATCCGGTGGGACCTAGAAAAGTTCTGGAGCCTGGAGAGAGTGAAAAATGGCCTTCCGGTCCCACCGGAAGTTGGCAAACGGGCTGTTTCTGGCCTCCGGGGGGGCCTCCAGGGGGTGGGGGAGTGGGGAATAAAGTCTCTGGAGGGCGAAAAACGGACCTACCGTGCCATTGCATGCCAAAAGCGGGGGGAGCACGGGGGCATGCACGGGGGTCAGGGCGCATAGAAATATAAGTGTGGGCATATGGGCGTGACACCATCCCCCCGCACTCCCCCGCTTTTGGCACGTGATGGCAAAAAGGTTCGCCATTACTGGTATAGGGTTTCCTGCCTGAGCAGGGAGTTGGGCTAGAGGACCTCCAAGGTCCCTTCCAACTCTGTTATTCTATTCTACTAAAGGTTAGCTGATTCTGTGGCAGAGGGGGACTAGGACTGGGGGTCTCTCTGCCCTTAGTCCAGTCATCTTGCCCACTACCTGATTGGTTCTTCGACTGAGAGGGAGGAATTGGCTGAAAATCAGCCAATGAGCTTCTGGGGCTGAGGAATTCTGGGAGTTGAAGTCCACAAGTTGTAAAGTTGCCAAGATTGGAGATCTCTGTCTTTGTTCCAAGTCTAGCATCTTCTCCACTGCCCTACATTGTGAAAAGATCTGTACTCTTAACTACTGAGAGGAAAATGTTCTCCAGGGGCCTGGATAAAGATGAGAGTTGCCTACAATGGGCTACCAGAAACCCGTTTCACTGGAGATGCTGGTGAATGCACCTGGGGTTTCCGCTTTCAAAGCTTGTGCTCTGTTCCCACTGGGCTTTGGTCCTTATATATTGCACACACGGGACCAGAGATGAAGGTTTCTTGAAGAGAAAAGATCAGATAAATAATAATATAGCCTTTGACTTTCAGCCACTCGTTTAGAGATCATTTGAAGTTACAATGGCACTGAAAAAAGTGACTTATATGATATCCAGTCCCTGCCCTCATGTCTGTTGCGGCATCCCCCCCCTCACATGAACAAAATTTGGGCGCTTGGCGACTGGCATATGCTTATGATAATTGCAACGTCCCAGGATCATCACTTGTGACCTTCCCAGCTGGCGTCCGACAAACAATGGGGACAATGCATTTGCTTAACGACTGCATGATTCACTTAGCAACCGCAGCGATTCGTTTAACAACAGGGCAACAAAGTCATATCAGACATGACTGACTTAAGAACCACCTTGCTTAGCAATGGATATTCCTGGTCCCAATTGTAGTCGTAAGTCAAAGACTACCCACCTACCTACATGCACAGATACTCTCGTGTGTGTGTGTGTGTGTGTGTGTGTGTGTGTGTAATTAGTTTTTTTTTTAAACTTAAAAAGGAAAATATATCCTCTTTTGTACTGCCACAAAAAGTCGGTACAGAATCACAGGGTTGCAAAGGACCTTGGAGGTCTTCTAGTCTGGGGGTCTCAAATTCAAGGCCCGGGGGCCATATCCGGCCCGCGTTGTGGTTAGATCTGGCCCGCAAGGCTGCCCTGGAAATAGTGAAGGACCGGCCCCTGGTGCCTCAGCCCCAGCCCAGGTCGGCCAGGCACTGATATAAAACTTGGTGGCGGCCATCTGGGCTGGAACGCAGCCAGCCTTACATCCGCAGGGCTGCTGTGGAATCAGTGAGGGGACTCCGCCACCCCCTGGGTGCATGCTGGAGACAATGGATCCCCCAGCCCCACCCGGCGCACCACAAGCGCCCCCCTTGATGTGAGCAACATTGAGCTGGCCATGACCACCCATTGGCTCCCAGCCACGCCCACCCAGCCTCTCAAAGTGACACCCCTGTTCTAGTCCAGCCCCCTGCAAGATCAAATCTCACCAGGCTCAAGGTTGACTCAGCCTTCCATTCTTCCGAGGTAGGTAAAATGAGGACCCGGATTGTGGGGGCAATAAGATGACTTTGTATAAAAAAGAACACCGCTGGGGGGGGCGGGGGCAAGCCCTACTAAGCAGGTATATACAAAAGTATGAAGGCTATTGCTTAATGCATTGTAAGCTGCCCTGAGTCTCCGGAGAAGGGTGGCATATAAATCGAACTAATAAATAAATAAATAAATAAATAAATATTTCTCAAATGAGCTAAAGGCTGGATAGCTCAACAGATAGAGCTCTGTAATTTAACACCAGCTGTCTGCAATTAAAGTAAGATCGAATCCCGCCAGGCTCAAGGTTGACTCAGCCTTCCATCCTTTCTAAGGTAGGTAAATTGAGGACCCAGATTGTGGGGGCAATAAGCTGACTTTGTATAAATATACAAAAGGATGAAGGCTATTGCTTAACGCATTGTAAGCCGCCCTGAGTCTCCGGAGAAGGGCGGCATATATATCAAATTAAAAAAAAAAAAAAAAGGCTTGACAGCTGAAAGAGACTAATATTTTTAACACCTCAGGATGGAATACAAACAAGCAGGAAGTACTAAGGGAATACAATTTAAAACCTGCTTTGCTATAAGGGCAATCAGTAAAATAAAACCTTGGGTTGCCAATAATTTTAGTCAGAAAACCCTCAGTTTACTAAATCCTAAGCAATCTTCCATATCTCAAACTGCTAGTAAAGTGCAGAAGTACTGTAGTACTTAAAGGCTTGGGGTTTTTTTTTTTTTCCTTCCTTCAACTCATTTATATTGCTTTTCTAAACATTGTGATTCTGGCGTTAGTCAATTTAAATTACTGCTCCCTTCCAAAACCTTTATTAAAAATGGTTTCCAGTGATTTATGGATGCCTGTTACTACCATTCTAATTTTAAAATAAAATTTACTTTCATTTACCGAAACAAAATTTAATAATAATTATAATAGATGAAAAAGGGGTGGAGATAAAGATGTGCAGTCTTTGAAAAGAAAAAAAAAATCCAAGGTTTTTTTTTCTTGGAAATTAAAAAAATAGCCTCAGTTGCCCAACAGCTCCTAGGCTTGGCTGACTGAAAGGCCTTGGCTGCAGCATGTAAAGGGTTAAGTCCTGCCATCTTCATGCCATTCACTGATATGTCCATTAAGGGTGTTACATAACAAAATGGCAGACCTTAACCCTTTCCTTGCCACACTTCCTTTCACTGTCAGTCACACACTTCAGCCAGGCTGAATCAAAAGCACCTAAAGAAAAACTCCCAAGGCTAAATGGGTTTATGAGATATTGTAATTTGCTTGCAAGAAAGTAGGGGGGAAATTGTCAGAGCAAGAGTTAAAAGCTTTTTAGAAGTTTTTTTTTAATTTAAAAAATAAGGCTTTAAAGCTTAAACAACAACCAATTGAAAAAAGAAGTATAAGGAAAAAACATCCTGACTTCAATTTTATATTTTAACTTAAAAAAAAAAAGGAAAGAAATTTTAATCCTAACAAACCCAGTTTAGCAAGGGAAGCAAACTGATTCTATGAACATGGAAATGCATTAGGTTTGTGTCAGGTATGTTGAGCAGAGATTTAGAACTACCAAAATTACCCCATATTTACAGATTTCCAGATTCCTCCCCCCCCACCCGTAAAAGGTACAGTTTACCCCTTCCTCAGCAGCTTTAAGCACTGAAAGCTAAGCCTGTTGCAATCTGCTCCCCTCCCACTTCCATTTCTGGGTTATAACTTGAAGGTCTCTAGAGCAGCATTTCTCAATCTTAGCATGCTGGCTGGGGAATTCTGGGAGTTGAAGTCCCATACATTTTAAAGATTAAAAG